CCCTACAAAAAATTATCTTTGGGACTTTGATAGGGATTGCATTCAATCTACTACAGATCTTTTTTATGTAGTACTTGTTATCTTAACAATATTAAATTTTCTAATCTATGAACACAGGATTTCTTTTATTTTTATCTCTTTTAGTTTCTTTAAGCAATTTTTTGAGGAGTTTTGCCAGAGGTTCCATGTGCTTTCTAGAGAGAGAGTGAGAGGGAGATAGAAGGCCCCTCCAATGGGGCATGATTACACTGCAAACCCTTTTCTCCACTTCTTCCCATCAGGATTTTGGGTATGTGCACACACAAACCCAGCCTCAGGGCTGAGTTTCAAACAGTAGTTGGCCATGTGCGATCTGACTCCTAACGCACTGTGCTTACCCACTGTGCTATGGGGCCAGCCTGGGAGTAAATTATTTTAATTTTAAGCCTCTACTTAATTATCAATGTTAAGAATGAAACATTACTTAATATACCGAAATTGGTGTTTTTTTTGTTTTTTGGGTTTTTTTTTAACCTCTCTCAGTATTTCCTTTGATACTTTCTGGATCTTCATAGTATAATTTTTTTGTTTATTTTATTTTATTTGAAATTTAAAGGTGTGCATATATACAGGTTAAGGCCCCTATATTCATATCTTTTTTTCTTTTTTTCTTTTTTTTTAGAGGTTTTTGCTATAGGGCACGTGCTCTCACTGGAAAGATAGAGAGAGAGAGAGACAGAAAGCAAGAAATCACCCCCTCGGGGGGGGATGGTCACGCCGCAATCCCTTCTCCTCCTTTCTCCTCTCAAGATCTTGGTCACACACGCACACGCACCTGGCGTGAGTTTAAGCCACTGGGTCCGGGATGCGAACCGTGGTCAACTAAATGGGAGTCCAGCGACATAGCCATTACAGTAACTGCTGGTTCCATATCTTTTTATCTAGAGGTCCCAAAATTATTTTTTAAAGAAATCCTGTAATTCAGACTTTTACCAGGTTTTTTCTCCCCAATGGTTATTTTATCTAAACCATTGGCTGTTGAATGTTTTTTCAGACTTGGAAGTTATTTTATGGTGTTGTTTGGTAAGGCTTATATTTCAAAGAATATAGGAATACATTGTTCAGGAAACTAGATACTTCCCTCTGCCACTTACCCAGTCTTGGTCTTGTCACTGAGTCTTCCTTTATCAATCGTATATTTCCAAATAGAGTTACAGTTTATTCAAGATTGCATTAGTGTAAGTCTTCCATTTATTCAAATAAAACAGAACCCTTCTATTTGGATGGACTTTATTTTGCAGCGTACATTCTAGTTCAGTTCACATGTTCACTATTGTGCAGTACTTTTAAAGTATAAAATGCAAAGCTGCGTCAGGACTCTCAGTCACAGAGAAACAAGGCATGCACACAGCAACAGCCAGAAACCCACGTGAGGGCGACGGTCATCAGTGCCCGAACATGCAAAGGCGTGTGTGAACCTTCCCAGTCATCATGGCCTTACTAGAGCACAGATGCCTAATAGCGAAGTCTCATCTCTGTGTCACCCTCGACAAAGGGTGAGAGAATTGAAATATTAGATAGGAGGTCATTCTAGGTAGGGAAAAAACAAAAGCAGATCTTTAAAAAATGGGAGTAAGTGAATTTTCTGGGAATGTCATACAGACACAGTGTGATTCCAATGTCTAATTTATAGTGGGTATGATGTTTGTTCTTTAATACACACAGTTCAGACCTCCGTTTCTGAAACACTGAAAGTCTGATTTAATGCCAAAGCAACATGTAGACTAAGGCTTTTAAGTGGGACATGGGCAAGAGGAGAGTTATTTCGGGAATTTTTTTTTCGGGGGGGGGGAGGTTTTTGCTATAGGGCACATGCGGTCGCCAGACAGACAGAGACATAGAGACAGAAAGCGAGAAATCACCCCCCAGGGGGGATGGTCATGCCGCAATCCCTTCTCCATTCTCCTCTCGGGATCTTGGGCACTCACGCACACGTGCCCGGCATGAGTTTTAAGCCACCGGGTCTGGGACGCGAACTGCAGTCGACTACGTGGGAGTCCAGCGACATAGCCATTACACTAACTGCTGGTTCCCTATTTCGGGAATTTATTCTGGGGACATTGAGTCATCACACATTATCAGTGTTAGAGTGGAGATCAGATTCTCACCATTAAACGTGTCAGTTCTTCGTGGTAGGTAGAAACGCCGCTGAGCTTTGCAGGGGTATTGCGTTTGTCTGGAGAACATGGGTGTGTATGGGTAGGTGGGAAGGAGGGGTCAGTAACACCCCAGAATACACTTTGCTTTCATTTCTCATGCTTGATGTTTGACAGATTTATTGATGACAGTCTTATTCCTATCGTGTAAAAAGAAACTATTTTTCAGTGATCTCAGTTTTTAGAGGCTGTACAGGATTTATGGCTATTCGTTGTGAGAAACTGGAAGGCCTTTTGTATATTTTTCTTAGAAGCATACTGGTTTTTCCCTGCTTGACTTTTTTAAATGTTTTATGATGAACATACCTAATATTTAGATAAAAGAAGATGTCTTGCTATTTTACTAAAGACTTAACTATGTGATCACAAAGCAGAGTAGCAGAACATTTCGATATCAGCTCTTTATCAGAGAAAGTAAATTTTTATTTTATTTGGAAAGTTTTGCCTACCTATGAGACTATACCCTATTCTTCAGGCTAAATGAAAATATCATAAAATAGCTGCCTTGATAGAAAGAAAACAAAGTTTCTACTTTGTAGTGAATAGTGTATGAGTCCTAAAAGAAAAATGAGAGATTACTAGAAATATTTTGTTTTTCAAAGTTTTTGGAGCATCTGCCTTAACTGAGTTTGAGATACAGTAAATGCCGAGGAAACAGACGTGTGAAGGGGACTGGACTTCATGGGCAGTGGGAATAATACACCTCAACTCTGGGCAGGACGTGGCAGAGACATACCTCTTAAATGGCAGTCTAGTGTAGTTAGAAAAATAGTGCAATGCTGCTTAAATATTTACACATCACCTGTTTTGAGCTTAGAAAGTCAATGTTATGTTTTACTTGTTATATGTAAGAGTTTGTAACATCCTTGCTTTGAATATATAATTACTTCATAATGGGTTACAAAGTTAAGATTAAATCAATGCTTACACTTCTTTAAACATTGTGTAGAAAGATTCTAAGTGTGTATCTACCTTCATTTGTGCTGTGACAGTGGTTAAAAGTATGACCCAATGGGTAATCTTTTTAAGCAGATAAAGCTGTTCGGGTGCTTCCCGAGGATGATGGGGTTGCCCTCCAGCCGTATTTCCTCCACCCGGTCTCGAATATAGCGAGTGTCATTAGCCTTGCAAAATGTATCATCTGTAATTGAAGTTATGTTGTTAAACTGAAAAGTAAGAGAAAAAATGGTTTAGAAATCTGAAATGAACCTTTTTTTTTTTTTTTTTTTTTTTTTTTTTTTTTTTTTTTTTTTTTTGAGAGGTTTTTGCTATAGGGCGCATGCGCTCGCCAGACAGAGAGACAGAAAGCGAGAAATCACCCCCCAGGGGGGATGGCCACACCACAATCCCTTCTCCTCCATTCTTCTCTCGGGATCTTGGGCACGCACGCACACGCGCCTTTCGTGAGTTTAAGCCACCGGGTCCAGGACGCGAACCGCGGTTGACTACATGGGAGTCCAGCGACATAGCCATTACGCTAACTGCTGGTCCCTGAAATGAACCTTTTCTATGCTGTCGTGGGATTACAGGATATTTATCTAAAACGTGATTTTTAAATAATATGTTACATATTATGCATTTAATAATCTATTATTTTAAAATCATATCGTATCTTCATAATAAAAGAAAAGAAGCTCTGCAGTTCAAAATGAGTGCCATGTCCCTAAATATTCTCTTCAAGCAATAAAAGGAACAAATGGAAGTTCTTTTGATGCAAAGAGACCAACTTTAGTTTATTTTCATTCAGTCTCCCCATTTGCGCTAACTGAAGTGGATGTACTATGAAGTTAGCTGGAAAGTCTCCAAAAACAGTGTTTACCACTGTCTGGAGAAGACTCACAAAGCAGTAGTCTGAGTGCGCCTACTTCCAGTCAGATTACCTAGGGATGCGTGGGGATAAATGCACTCCATAGCCAGCCTGCCAGCTCCTGTGCTGGTCCATTGGAGCTGCTCTAGACAGAACCTGGGCTTGTGGGCAGAAGAGTCGGTTTGGTTAAGTGTCAGTACTTTCCATAGGCATGTAGCAGTAAGATCTAACCTACATTCACGTGAGTGAGTTCCCAGTGAGCCTGCGGTTGGCCCATGACTGCAGCCATGGTTGTGAGGGCAGTCCTACCTGAAGATGGATCACGCGCAGACTCTCTGGTAAGTGAAGAGGCACCGACTCCAGGGCGTTGTGGTCCAGGTAGAGGAAGGAGAGATTACTCAGTTTCTGGAAGGGAAGTTTCATTTGAGTGTTACTAAGGTTTATGGGTCTCTTCAGACAGGATTCAGACAACAGACAGCTGCTTCACGGTGAAGCCATGCTCCGAGGGGTGCCTGGGGAGGTGGTTTCTAGTTTGTGAGGTCACAGGAGATATTTAGATAGCCTAGGCGACACCTCTAGGCTCTATAGGGGGCCCATTCCCTTGAGCTACAAATCTGTGTAACATGTCACTGTAGCTGTAACAATGCCTCAAGTCTTAGATGTAGCTAAACGTAGAAATGGTACAGCAAAAATATGGCGTTACCGAGAAAATGGTATACCTGCATCAGGCACTGACCATGAACACTCAAATACGTGTGTAATGCTTTGCCCTTTAACCTCATGACGGCTACAGTGTCACCAGAGGACAAGAGTATTCAGCCATTTTATAATCTTATGGGACCGCCAACCTATATACACTCCGTTAATGACAGAAATGTTTTCATGTGGTGCATGACTGTGTGTGTGTCTGTGTGTGCACACACAAGTCTACTGTAAAGATGATATTACAGTAGTATCAGCCGTTGGCAATGCTAGCTTCTTATTTGGGGTGTTTCTTTTGACTTCACAAATAGTGCATTTTGGTTGTTGGTGGCAGCCCGTGGTAATCTACTGCATCTCCCACATTTCTGTCCATTCATCTGATCTCCAAATACTCAACCCTGTTGCCAACTCCTGGGCTCTTTGGATTTGTCTTGGATTTAGCTAATGAGGTCAGACCCTACATGGGACTGAATTTGGACTCTGGTGCTTCCTTGAACTCTCCTGAACCTCCAAGTTTACCATCTCTGCTCAACCAATTTCTAACAAAGTGATTAGTCCTAAGAAATATATGTGTTTGGAGCCCACACATACATTTGTAATGTATGGTTAAGGTGGTGGTTAAGGTGCTGAACTCCCACATGGCCCACCTTGGTTCAAGTCCCTGACCTGGCAGCTTGAAAATTATGCTAGGCACATGTGCATGCATGCCCAACATCCCAGGAGGAGAATGAAGAAGAAGGGATTGTGGCATGGCCATCTTCCTGGGGAGTGATTTCTCACTTTTTCTCTCACCGTCTCTGGCGTTTGAAATGCATGGGTCTACTTACCCGTGGATTTTTTCAATAACTATATTGAAAATACAGTATTGTAAATGTATTTTCAATTCCTTATGATTTTAGTAATGGCATATTCTTTTGAAAGAATATAGTATACAATACATTTCACATACAAAATATGTATTAATTGTGTTGTCAATGCTTCTGGTCAACAGTAAGCTATTAGCAATTAAGTTTGTTTTTTAGAGGGATTTTTGCTATAGGATACATGCACTCGCCAGATAGATAGAAAGTGAGGGTACCAACAGTTAGCGTAATGGCTATGTCACTGGGCTCCCATGTAGTCGACCACGGTTCACATCCGGACCTGGTGGCTTAAAACTCACGCTGCGCGCGTGGGCATGTGTGCCCAAGATCCCAAGAGAAGAATGGAGAAGGAATTGCAGCGTGACCATCCCCCCTGGGGCGTGATTTCTCGCTTTCTATCTCTCTGTCTCCCTCTGTCTGTCTGGCGAGCGCACGTGCCCTATAGCAAAAACCTCTCAAAAAAAAAAAAAAAGAAGGCAAGAAATCACCCTCCAGAGGGGATGGGCATGCTGCAATCCTTTCGATCTCCTCTTGGGATTCTGGGCATACACACACACGTGCCTGGTATGAGGTTTTAAGCTGCCAGGTCCAAGACTCAAACTGTGGTCAACTATATAGGAGTCCAGCGATGTAACCATTACACCATCCGCAGGACCCAGCAGTTAAGCTTTTCCGAGTCAAAGTTACATGTGGAATTGGACTGCGCAGGGCTGTCCTGCCTTGTTCAAGGCTCAATTAGGTGATGGTTTCAGGACACAGCCCTCCCTGACTCCTGTTCCTACCTCCAGTGCACAGCCTGTGCCAGGTTGTGCCGTTCTTTTCTGTGCTGTGATTTTCTTTTTCCTGAGCCTTCCACCATCCTGCCATATTGGCATCAATCACCTACCTTCACAATGGCCTCAGTTACAGGGCTTAAGGTAACCTGATTTTGCCTAGGGCAGTTATCCCCAACCTTCCCAGCACCAGGGACTGGCCTCGTGTAAGACAGTCCCTCCGTTTGGGGGGGGTGCGGGGATGTTGGTCCCAGAATGACCCATGCACACCATTTCCGTCACCACCTCCTTGCAATTTACGATGAAACAGTCACACAGTAGGGGTCGTGCTCCCGTGAGCATCCAGTACTGGGCTGATCTGACAGGAGGTGGCGCCCAGGCAGCAATACCAGTGATGGTGAGTGGCAGCACGCACAGCCCATGCCCACTCAGTCGTGCGCCCAGTCCCCTTGCTGTGCGGCCTGGCAGATATCACCTCTGTGCAGCTAGCCCCTAACAGGTCAAAGTAGGAAATGCCCAGGGGACACTTGGGGACCTCTGGCCTAGGACATTAGGCAAAGTGGCCAATTTTCATGATAACTTGTCAGGAAAGTCATGACATATTTTTCTCTTTTTCTAAGAGTTTTTTGCCTTAGAGTGCATGCACTCACCAGAGAGAGACAGACAGACAGACATGGTCAGAGGGAAATAACAAATCACCCCCATCACCCTCAGAACTGCTGGTCATGCTGCAATCCTTTCTCCTCCAGTCTCCTTCCAGGATCTTGTTTACAAACACCCACAGGCCTGGAATGATTTTCAAGCCACCAGATCTGGGACTTGAACCATGGTCAGCCACATGGGAGTCCAGCGACATAACTGCTAAACCATTTGCTAGTCCCTTTCTATGTTTTTCTGTGCCAAAGCGCATCATGACTTTCCTGATAACCCAGTACAATAGATAGTAAAATCCAAGTATGCAGCAGTTGTGACACGTGGGTCAGCCCTTGTAGGTCTTTAACATGCCAGTTGTTCAGAATGACCAACTCAGATTAATGTCTTCAAATCACAAGTCGTCTTTATAAACAAATGCGTCTGCTTTTAAACAGTCCCCTAAGAGGGCTGGCTCCCTGTGGCGGTGGCAATGCACTGCTCAGATGCCACCTGGTGCCTGCAGTCTCAGTCTCCGGCCTGTCAGCCTGAGACATGCAGGGTGGGCATGCGAGTGCCCAGATCTAGTGGGCGGAGGGCTGGACTGCAGCGTACCCGGACTCTCGAGCACTCCTGCCTTTCTCACATGTACACACGCTCTGTCATGCATACAGGACACCTGAGTTTTTCTTTTCCCCAAGAGTCTCTTTACTTCTGACTTCCTTGTAAGAAATGTCAGAACTCCAGTATAACTTTAAATGTCCCTCACAGTTGAAAAAAGATACTTTAAGTATAAACAAAAAGGAAAGGAAAGAAAAATGGAGTCTTTTTACATTTTCTAACAGACTATACATTTGCAGGCCTATTACACATTTGTGTGATTATCATGAGTTGTATGATAATGAGTGTTTCATAGTTCCCGGTCCTTCTATTAGTGTTGGAGTTACCTTCAGAAGCTAGATAACACGCCTTTTTTTTTTTTTTCTTTTTTTTTTTTTTTTT